AGAGAGAGAGAGAGAGAGAGAGAGAGAGAGAGAGAGAGAGAGAGAGAGAGAGAGAGAGTGGTCCAGGCATGCATGCAAAGAGATAGAGAGAGGCTACTTTCATCGCTAGGATGAGCAGAGAATATGGAAATATACACTGCTTTCCAACCATGCGCACAGAGAGATAGAGAGGCTACTTCCATCAATAGGATGAGCAAAAGCGGAATGAATCTTCCGCTAGAACATGGAAATATACACTGCCATTTATTTTTATTTATTATTATTATTATTTTATTATTATTATTATTATTATTTATTTTTATTTTTTTTTGTGTGTGTGAGAGAGAGAGGGAGAGACAGGATGAGCAAAATCGAATGAATCTTTCGCTAGAACATGGGAGTATACACTGCCACACTTGTGGATTTAGTCCACAAACCCGCGGCCAAAAAAGAGCCCGTTCATAAAAACCGCGCCAGCAGCAACCTTCCGCTCGAGTGCTCCACGCAATTGTTGCATAATCGCGCCGCCCAAACTCCATTCACACAGGCCTGAACCAACCTCGGCATGAACAGTCGTCGCTAGAGTCATGACTCACTTACACTACCGCCCGGGTCTTTTCGCCCCACACTTTCTCGTGGGACCATTGGGTTTCGCCTCTGCCTGCCGCACGCCCTTCCTGTCGAGTTCCCCAACCTGGGAACCGCGTCTCGCGTGGTGCGTCACGCGAGACCCGCTGCTTACTTTAGTAGTATGTAGATAGATGTAGAAAAAGGAAGAAGTGCCTATACCACCAGATGTGCAGAACTGTTAGACGAGTTCGCTGATGTGGGAAAGACCCCAAGTGGAGTGGTTGAGAGGAAAGCAAAGCACCAGATATATATAGAACCCGGTAGCAAGGTCCCTAAGGACCCCATCTATCGGATGTCTCCCAAGGATGAGTTGCGAAGAAGTTAGATGAGTTGATAGGGAAAGGGTGGATTTAGCCAAGTTCCTCGCCATATGGTGCACCGGTCTTGTTCGGGCCAAAGAAAGAAGGCGATTTGCGCATGTGTATAAACTATAAGGACTTGATGCGATTATCATAAAGAATGCTGAGCCATTACCGCGGATAGACGATCTCCTGGAAAGAGTGCAAGGTTGCAAGTTTTTCTCGAAGATAGACTTCAAGTTGGACTACCATCAAATCAAGGTGTTGCCTGAGGATCAACACAACAACCTTAAGAACTCGATATGGCCACTGCTAGTTATATACGACCAGGTGGAGTTGCACAAGATTTACCCTTGGGTTTAAGCGAAGATCTTTTTCTATTTTCACAGCAATTTGCTTCTCGTATAGACGAAGTAGAAGAAATGTTAACAAACAATCGTATTTGGAAACAACGACTTGTAGATATTGGTACTGTTACTGCACAACAGGCTATGGATTGGGGATTTAGTGGTGTAATGTTAAGAGGTTCAGGGGTTTCCTGGGATTTGCGAAAAGCAGCACCCGATGTTTATGACAAAGTAGAATTTGATGTACCCGTAGGTACACGAGGAGATTGTTATGATCGTTATTGTGTCGACGAGTTTGTGGTCATGCCGTTTGGGTTGACTAACGTCCCTGCTACCTTCCAGTGATGTATGAATGAACTCTTCCGTGACTGGTTGGACAAATTCGTTGTTGTATATTTGAATGATATTCTGATTTTCAGTAAAATGTTAGAGGATCACGAACAACATCTTCGGTTAGTGTTGAGAAAATTGCGCGAAGCTAACTTTAAGTTGAACCCAAAGAAGCGTGAATGGGCCAAGCGTCGGGTTCTGGGTCATGTATTGGATGGAGACGGAATCAAACCAGAAGACGCCAAAATAGCAGCAATCAGGGACTAGCCGGCACCGCGTACACATGGCCCCAGGTAGGTCGACAACGACTAACCACTTCCCCACAAGGGGAGGAGCCTTTCCTCCAAGAGAGAACAGTCCTCTGGACTGACACGGTCAAGCTCAGGCAGACCCAATCGCAAACTCAAATGACAAGGGGTCTCGCTCCTCTATTCTTGACTCACGGATTTTTGTTAGTCCGTCCTCGGCCCACTTACTCATGAAAATGAATCTTGAAATTCGAGTCGAGAGTTGTCAGAACTCTCTCACAATTTCAACTCTCGAGGGTATGAGAGTCCCCAGTCTGCACACTCTGGAATTTTGTGGGTGGTCTGTGCCTTTCCAACTGCTTGAAATTCGAGAGTTCACCTTGAGTCTGGGTAGACAAAAGAGGTGTTTGGGTGTCCGGTAGTGATGTCTTGTAGTGCTGTAGAAGTTTGAGAGTAAGTGGAGTGAGACTGCAAATTTTGAGCATGTCGGGGGTCTGACATCTCTCGAATTACCCTCGGAATTTTTCATGAGTCGAGAGTAGTGGAGCGAGACCCAAGATTGCAACCATTGACAACAACAAAATTGGCCTTTGCAGCAGTGTCACCAAGAAAGTGTGTGGGAATTACTGAGACTACAACAAAATCAAATGCATAAACGGCAAAGACCAGGGCATGGAAGCATTTCACTAAACTTGATGTCGCTCCTCTCGCTGCTCCTTGCATGCCGGTACGCGCTCCTTTCTCTTTCACTTGCTCCTTCTTCTTGGGCCCTCACCTCCTGGTCAAACCCCAATTACTGGACCCCCC